GTTAGTGTAAAAAATGTAATATAATACAATTTCCAGAATATTACGTATAAAAATCAATTGTGCACCGAACGGAAGGTATAAAATGTACGTATAACTTCAACGACAATAATATTTTTTCCACAAGCGAAATTAAAAATTTCAATTTATCCGTATTTTGTCTTTTGACCTATAGTTTACATGTGTAAAATTTGATCAAAATAGTACAAAGTTTTATTTAAAAAATTTGCAAAATAATGTTAATTTTTAACATATTTTTTAAACAAATAAATTTTTCAAAAATCCACTTAGGCCATATTATTGGCCTTCTAAAACAGAAAAATTTGCACTTTTAATTTTTTGTCTAGGCCTAATAGTTCCTGAGATATTCGAGAAAATATGTTTTGCAACCCCAACTTTGGTGGCCATTTTCACCCCTTCAGCATGAACGATGGCCGATAAAAAAAAATACGTGTCAAATATTTTTTTGCGTTCTATATCATACTCAAAGCGCATCAAAATCGGCGATTGGCGATTGGGTAATGTCCCTTGCAAGACTATGTCCCTAGTTTTCCGAATTAGTTCAATTTTAACGATATCACGAATAAATACTTGTTGCAATTATTTCGGTAAATAGAAGTCATTCCATGAACTCATGATCTATGGACGCGTACTTGAACGGTTCGGAATTGCTGGTTAAATAAGTTTATTATTACTTGATCGAAGCACGCGTACACGTGCTCGTACGTCGAACATGTGCTCGCGATTTCTCGTGGTTCAGCAAGCTTCTTCTCGGTCTCGAAGTTCAATTCGCTCCGCAACCACGCACGGATTACTTAACAAGTCAATCAATGACACATAGCGTCGTCGATGATTACTCGAAACGACTTTGATCGCCGAGGAAAAAAATGATGACCGTTTGCACGTATTCTTGGAACAAAGTTTTGTCGGTAGATGCAAAAGTTTTGTTAAATCAATAACGTATAATTGCACTTACTTTATTTACACGGTTTTGAGAAATATTTATTTTTAGAATTGTTGAATTCTTATGAACTTTGATGCTATTTTTTCTGACGCGTATCAAATTTTCTTAAGAAACTCGTTTTAATTAATTGAAAACTGTTGTTTGGCAGATAGCATTTATTTACACGGTTCTGGAATACTTTAACTCAGAACAGATTATTTATTTACTGGTCGCGTTAATTAATGTGCTCGAGGATAAGATGGATTATTCTGTTGTTTTGTTTGTACTTTCTACTCTTAATTGGGAACAGTTTTATGATGAAAGATATTTTTATATTTTGTTCTGATTTTATCTGTTTTAGGTTATTAATTTTTTCACTTTCTCTAATTCTCAATTTCTCAGATTCCTAATTTTCAAATTTCAAATTGTCCCAATTTTCAACTCTCAAATTTCCACCTTCTCAATTTCTGTCTTCTCAAATTTCCAACTTCTCAAATTTCCACCTTCTCAAATTTCCTACTTCTCAAATTTCCATCTTCTCAAATTTCCAACTTCTCAAATTTCCACCTTCTCAAATTTCCTACTTCTCAAATTTCCATCTTCTCAAATTTCCAACTTCTCAAATTTCCATCTTCTCAAATGTCCACCTTCTCAAATTCCCAATTTCTCAAATTTCCACCTTCTCAATTTCTGTCTTCTCAAATTTCCACCTTCTCAAATTTGCAATCTCTCAAATTTCCAACTTCTCAAATTTCCACCTTTTCAAATTTCCACCTTTTTAAATTTCCACCTTTTCAAATTTCCAACTTCTCAAATTTCCACCTTCTCAAATTCCCACCTTCTCAAATTTCTACCTTCTCAAATTTCCAAGTTTCCAAACCTCCAATATTTCCAAAACTCCAAATCCCCAAATCTCCAAATCTCTAAATCTCTAAATCTCCAAATCTCCGAAATCCCCCAAATCTCCAAAATCTCCAAAATCCCCCAAATCTCCAAAATTCTCCAAATCTCTAAAATCTCCAACATTCCCCAAATCTCAAAAATGTCCGAACCCCTCAAAGTCTCAAAAACCCCCCAAATCTCAAGAATTTCAGAAATCTCAAAAATCCCCCAAATCTCCCCAAATCTCAAAACTATAAAATTTCTTTCACCTTAAAAATGTCTTCCACCTCACCCTAACAGATACCATCGTCCATCCAACCCATACAACAACTTTTCATTCCCAACTCCCGCATTCACAACATGGAAAATTTCTATTAACATCGGTCAATGTGTTAATAAGCTTTCCGCTAGACAAAGTGTTGAGAAACCGTTTGTTCTTTGAACCGAAAAGGTAGAAATCGTTCTCTGCACGCGACTTCTTTGTTCGATCGGTGGGTGCTCGTTCATGGAGCTGGTTAACAGCGGAATATTACCGGAGAAAATCGAAGGAAGCCGGTTAACAGATGTTCGGTCACGTTTCCGTGAGAAACTGTATCGTCTGATATATCTTCCATTAAACTCTGTACGACCTCGAGTCGATTGTTCGATGAAAAAGCGGTTACGTCGCGGTTCGACAGCTTAATTAGAAAACGCCATATTCCAGCTACTTTCAAACGGAGTTGAGAAGTATCTCCGACAATCTAACACGAATTTCCACTTAAATTAACGTATATTTGAAAATAAGTTCGTGAGTCATTTGTTCTTCGAATGATTTAATTGTTCTTGAAATAGAAATTACAGGTTTTTTAAGGTAATGAGACATTTATAGATGAATGTTTTATTTGGAGACATTTATAGATGAATTTTTTACGAGGAGACATTTTTATTGGGAATATTTTCCGAATAAAATTTCGTGTTTCAAATAAAACAACTTTCATTTGCTAAATTTATTTGATAATTTTATTTGACAAACTGGTTTAGTAAATTTGTTTGAAGAATTTATTTGACAAATTTGTTTGAAAAATTTATTTGACAAGTTTATTTTATAAATTTGTTCTAAAAATTTATTTGATAATTTTATTTGACAAAATTGTTTGGTAAATTTGTTTGGAAAATTTATTTGACAAGCTTATTATACAAATTTGTTCGAAAAATTTATTTAAGAATAAATCCTTATTTCAGATGAAATTTATGTTAAACTTGAAACATATAGTTTATGTATAATTCAAGATAAATAATTATTTGCGTGCTGACAAATGTAGTACTTCTACTAAAATGTTTGTTCATCAAGTTTGAAGAGCCAAGTTGAACAGTCAAGTTTGGTTCAAAAGTATTTGAACCAGTCTTTATTCTATGTTTGCCAAATGTGTTCAATTTTTATTTTGGTAAAGTATCCTTCATTATGATAATCAAACTTGAATTTCATGTTGCAGATGGAAATGCATAAAAGTACCAACGCCAAGAAGAGTTCTATACGTGGCGACGAGATGACGCTCAAAGAACCTCACAGGTAAATAAATATCCATTATTATATATCACAGATATAATACTGTACATATACTCAGGTATACTCAGGTATAATACTAAAAAATAATACAAAAATATCAAGTATAATAATCATACAAAACACGTGTTAAGTCAACAATTAAGTGGTCTATACAGTTGATGTACATGTATGTAGATACATGGATGTACATATATATACATATGTGGATGTACATATATGGATTTGAGGAGTTTTATACTTGAATAACAAAAAATCACGTGCTCGAATTTGAATAAAATGTATTTCTGAAATTTATCCAGTTCATCGATGCCCAAAATAGTCAGTGGAATGGACCAGTGAGATTAAACGAGCAAATTGCGAAATTGGCAAGCCTTATATATACGATGTTCCTGTTTCAATGGCAACATCGAAGCCAAGTGTGACGTAGCTCGTTGGCACCCAACGATATTTCTTCGATCTAGTATCGAACTGTGAAATCTGCGTGGTACTTTATTTCATCCTTGTTATTTTATTGAGAATGAGAATTTGGGCACTTGAGAATTTTTGGTCATTTAAGAATTTTTGGGGATTTGAGAGTTTAGACATATGGGATGCTGGGACTTTGGGCATTTAAGGGGCTGGAGATTTGAGAATTTGGGGATTTGCGAAATTGCACATTTGAGAATTTGGGAATTTGAAAGTTAGGAAATTTGAGAAGTTAGAAATTTGAGAAGTTGGAAATTTGAGGGGTTGGGAATTTGAGAAGATGAAAATTTGGGAAGGTGGAAATTATTTGAGAAGGTAGAAATTTGAGGGGTTGGAAATTTGAGAAAGTGGAAATTTAAGAGTTACAAAATTTGAGGAAGTGGAAATTTGAGAGTTACAAAATTTGAGAATTTGGAAATTTGAAAATTTGAGATTTTGAGAACATTTCAAGTTGGAAAGAAGGAACAAATTTCGGAAGTTGGAACAAATATTTAAAATATTAATTCAAATGTTAAATGAATTAAAAATTAAAAGGTAAATTTCTACCACTTTACATGAAACAAAAATGTGTATACAAAAGAAGAAAAAAGTGAAACTCTTCAAGACGTAAATTAACTTGCAAACACAACAGCGATAAATAAAACATAAAAATGAAATACTAATGAATCGTCGATTATTTATAATAGGGAAAAAAAAATCAATCTTCTCGGACGAACGTGCCGTTGCGCCATTAAGGATAAGCTTCTACAATGTGTGAGAAAAACGATCGCGTGCAATAATTACTAAATTTATTTATGGTCTATTGCGTGTTAATCCCCTGAGATAACACTATCGATTGCATAACGAGATCTCGGACGATTAACGGAAATGGAAAACCTCGAACAGTGCAATCACATTTCCATTTAATTGTAGGCCTGACCTTATCGCCGCGGTGAAAACGGACGTATTTCGCAAGATATATTGCAATTTTGACCCATTAATTTCTGGAGGTCGCAGATTTATAGCGTTTTTTATTGTTACTTAGATATTGTGAATAGAAATGCAAGTAAATGAATAGATAACAATGATTACAAGGATTATTGCACCTTAATGGGAAATGTTTTATGTTTTGGAACTTTTGGGGATGTTTTAGAGAATTTTGGAGGATTTTATTGTTGGGATTTTGGGGTTTTAGAATTTTGGGATTTCTCAAAGTTGTAACCCCTCATTCTAATTCCCCATATTCCCAAAATCTCAAATTTCCCTTTCTCCAATTTCCACCTTCTCAAATTTCTACCTTTTCAAATTTCCACCTTCTCAAATTTCCAACTTTTCAAATTTCTATCTTCTCAAACTTCCAACTTCTCAAATTTCCACCTTCTCAAATTTCCATCTTCTCAAATTTCCACCTTCTCACTCTTCCAACTTCTCAAATTTTCACCTTCTCACTCTTCCAACCTCTCAAATTTGCAATCTCTCAAATTTCCTACTTCTTTATTTTCCATCTTCTCAAATTTCCACCTTCTCAAATTTCCAACTTCTCAAACTTCCAACTTCTCAAATTTTCACCTTCTCACTCTTCCAACCTCTCAAATTTGCAATTTCTCAAATTTCCTACTTCTTTATTTTCCATCTTCTCAAATTTTCACCTTCTCAAATTTCCAACTTCTCAAATTTCCACCTTCTCACTCTTCCAACTTCTCAAATTTTCACCTTCTCACTCTTCCAACCTCTCAAATTTACAAACTCTCAAATTTCCTACTTCTTTAATTTCTACCTTCTCAAATGTTCACCTTCTCAAATCTCCCAACTTCTCAAATCCCTCAAAATTCTCAAATGCCCAAATTTTCATTCCCCAAATTCTTAAATCTTCAACTTCTCAAATCCTCAAAAATTCGCAAATGCCCAAATTCTCATTCCCTACACTTAATATATCCAAAAAATGTAGACATATAAACCTTCCTTGTAGTTCACAACTTCACATTAAATTTTTAACGAATTTTAACGTTTTGCTCATATTTGCTCATATTTTGTTTCTTAGTTTTTACTGAAATTTTGTTCCAATGTTAATATTAAACCATGTATTATTCAAAATTTGTATATTTTTCTTTGTATGAGATTCAGTATTTTTGAAACGGAAAGGAAGAGTAATTATAGGGTTTGTTTCATGAAATGCGAAATGTAGGATGCTGTGTGGGTTACGAAAAGAAAAATACCCGTTACTCGGAGAATTATAAATAAAGTATGATAAATTGAACGTGTTTTATTTCCCCGCTTATAGTCCCACAAGGAACGTTCGAAATATTTGTTCAGTTTAATAAAAAAAAGCGTTTCTGACTGGTCTTACGAGGCTCACCTTGAAATACAAATGTTTGATCAGACCGTGCATGTTGATACAGGGTTTCTCAAGTAAAGTGTCCTTTCGCGAGTCATTTAATTATTTGTTAGACAATTCTACTATTAATTTTGTAAATACTATTCGAAGTGTTATGCTGAAATTGTTTATCAGATAAGAAATCCTATATAAAACTATCATGAGAGTACAATAAATTGCATACAAAATGATTATGAAAGTGAAATGAATTCCACACAAAATCACCACGAAAGTGAAATAAATTTTACATAAAATCATCACGAAAGTGAAATAAGTTGTCTATAAAATGATCACGAAAGTAAAATAAATTGTAGCTGAAACGTGGAAGTATAAGCAACATACGCTTCGTTTTCTAATCTCAAATATTTCACGCCTCGTTAGCTCCTTAAACAGCGATTCAACATTTCGGAAGCTCGTCATACTTGTTCCAAATATGCATTAGAGTTATCGAATGGTTGTAAAACGAAAGTGTCGAACGAAGAAATATTTCGTTCGGTACTTTTTTACTTACTGCAATGGCTGGGTATCTCATTTGGATTACGTTAGTTTCACCGAAGTAATTCTTAAATTGCTCGTTAGCCAACTTGTTCGGGATTCCGAGTGAAAGTAGAACGCGATCGCGTGTTTCAGCGTCGATACCCGTTTACGTAGAACTATGGTAATTGTAAATCTTGCGAGCAACTGGTTTGACGTTCATGGGAAAAGGTTAGACGCAACTTTATACAGAGGTAGACAGACCGCTGCATTCTAACTGCACTTGTTGCCAGTGTTCTCGAGTTTCCTTCATAAACGAAGTCTCTCGATAATTACAAAGTTTGTCGGACTCTGTGCGACAGCCCAAATAGACAGCCGCCAATTATCATTAATCAAGATCCAGTGATTTATTAGATTCCCGCGTATCAAATGGTTTATGTCGAAAGGCCAAACTAGACTGACACTGGTTTATCGTATAAAACTACCTTGAAATACCACTTGTTCTACGTTAATTTACAATTTGAATATTGTGAAAAGTTACTATAAGCATTTTTCAGGAAAACGTCTACTCCCTTGACAGCAAAAATTCCCTAGACTCCTTACAGACTTTAAAGCTTATTACATTCTCAATTTTTCTGCAAAAATTCCCTATATTCTACAATTTCCAGTTACCTAATTCTTCAGATTCAACATTCCTTATATTTTGTTAAATTCCTTAGACACCTTGGACTCCTTAAATTCCCTAGACTTCCCACACTCCCAAGATTCCCCTCATTCCCTAAATTCTCTTGATTCCCTAGATTTCCCAAATTTCCTAAATCTTAGGTTTCAAATTCCCTAGATTCTAGATTGCCTAGGTCTGAAATTTCCTAGGTTATAAATTTCCTAGATTCCAAATTCCCTAGATTCCAGATTCCCCAGATTTAAAATTCCTTAAATTCCAAATTCCGTACATACACAATTCCTTAAATTGAAAATTCCCTAGTTTCAAAATTCTTTAGATACGAAATTCCCTAGATTCCAAATTCCATAAGTTGAAAATTCCTTTGATGCCAAATTTCTTAAATTCCAAATGCCCTACACTCAAAATTCCTTAAATACCAAATTCTCTAGATTCCAAATTCCTTAGATTCAAAATTCCTTAAATTCAAAATCCCTCAATTGCAAATTCCCTATATTGAAAATTCCCTAGATTCAAAATTCCTTAGATTTGAAATTCCCTAGATTAAAAATTCTCTGGATTCCGAATTCTCTAAATTCCCAATTCCCCAGATTCGCGATTCCCTAGATTCTAATTCTCTAGATTACCAATAACCTAGATTCCAAATTTCCTAGTCTTAAGATTTCCTAGATTCCAGAATTTTCAATTTCCTAGGATCCTAGTATCTTTGATTTCCTAAATTTTTTAGATTCAAAGTTTCCTGCATTCCCATGATTCTCCTTTTCCTTTTTCTGAATTCCCCAGTATTAACAATCTTTTTGGCAATCGCATTTATTGTCCAATGTCAAGCTTGTCAAGTACCAAACCTGTTCCATTTCAATAACAGAGTAATTCATCTGAAACGTCCAATCTCTTAATTATTTTTAGCCTAATATATTTTTGTTAATTTTTTTATTTATAGTCTCATCAACCAGCCTAAATATCTCTCTACCAGCCTAAAGAACTCTCTCAAAAGAAGAAATTCTTTCAAGAATATCAAATATTCTTGCCTACCAATTCAATGACCTACAATGTATCGTATTTCAATCTATGTTCTAAGCATATTACTTTATTCAACAGTGTTCTCGTGTCGTAATCATTTGAAATTCTCTATGTTTCAGAAATGGCAGCACGTACGGAGCTTTTCAATCGAAGGACCCGATTTTGGCGGTGGAAAAAGGATCCGACATGGAAAGCGTACACAACGAACATGGAATTTCCGTTCACCATCCGACCTCGTGAGTTCAATTACTTTGCAACACACGATTCTTATTCGCTCGGACTCGTTCTGCGTGTCCTTCTAACCATTTTTGCCGCGACTTTCGTGCGAACCTTCGGATAAAAGAAGTATACGACACTATGAGCTCATTGTCCATTGTGGGATTTTAAAGGAAGAACACGGTGCGCAGGCTTTATTTGTATGCGTCAGTTCGTGTGTACGTGTGAGCTCCGCAATGTTACTCTGCAAGATAAGTTCCGCTTTGCGGTTCTGCCTTACACACTACACTCACTTTCTGTTACCTACTTCATTTTTATCCTTGGATAGGATTCTTGATGAGGACACCGCGTTTAATGCGAGAAACACGATATACAGATTGGATTACAGTACTGTGATTCGGGAATTATAATTTCTCCCGATGGAATTTCGTGGGAATTTTATGATAGGATATTTGAGAAGTCGTGGAGTGGTTTTTTGTAATTGGACATGTTTTTGAATTTGTATGTTTCTTTATTAAATAACTTTTTAGGTAGGGTAAAAATTCATCAAAATACAAGTTTCAAATTTCTAAAGTTTCAAGTACTTGATAAAATTTATAGGTGCTCAAATAACAAGATGGATGGATTGCACAATTGTTAGAAGTTTATATTTCCTAATTTTTGAATTGCAAAGCTAGAGAATGCGAAAATTATCATTTTCCAAATTTGTGAATCAGTGCAAACCTCCAGTCATGAAACCTCCAAATCCCCAATTTCTCCCAAGTCAAATTTTCATCTTCCAAATCCGAAAATAATTAAAATAATGACCCTTAATTAAGGCCAATATCAATCGTAACGAATAAATAACAGTTTGCGTCCTCCTTCATCATCCTATCAGTACAAGTTTTCCACACAGAAGGAAGGAAGTAATTTCGCGTATTACGATGCCGGATAATTGTAGCTTTCCGTGACGCATCTAAACATCATTTTCCGAGAAGATCGACGTAGGTAAATTCGACACCATTCGACTTCCTCTTTTCCTTCAAGCAACGAGATAATTGTGTGATTCCCGCGAAGCAATTACAGAATACCGTAATGTCTACCTTTTTCAGATCCAGATTCCCTTCTTTCCATCGCTTAATTAACTTACGTAATTAGGGCGTTAAAGTCGAGGAGATGCATCGTAAATATTTCGAATAAGTTGGTAACCTTGCATTCATTCACTGATGAATATTTAAGAGGATGACAAATATTGATAAAATAAACGATGCTCCCAGGAATACTATCGTTCAGATAACAAGGGACACTGTACTTTATGAGTCATTTAATTCTGCGAATTTTTATTGTTTGATAACACAATTGACACAGTTGAAGAATATAACTTTTTACGTTCTATCTGTAAGAAATTTTTTGTGAGTCCAAAATAAATCTTTTCCTATAGAATTACCTTTATTTTTGGTCTACGGTTTGAAGATTAGAAAAATGTTTAATCAAACTTATAGAATTAATTAAAAATTTGAAAAGATATTTTTCTAATTTATTTTATATTTTATAATACAAGTGTCTCGCAATTAGTGTAGGTTCCTGAAATAGTAGCTGAAGCGATTTTGAATAGGATTCCCCTTTGCAAAAATGGGGTTTGAACTCAGAGCGCGAGGATTACGCGTGCGCAGACGCGAGAACGGCAGCTTCGGATAACGCGTAGTTTTCTAACGCGTAGTTATCTAACGCGTGGTAATCCAACGCATTGTAATGCAACGCGTGGTAATCCTACGCGTAGTAATCCAATGCGTAGTAATCCACCGCGTACTAATAGAGCGTGTGGATATCCAACGCGTAGTAATCTAGCGCGACCATATTCTACGCGTAGTAATCCAACGCGTAATAATGCAACGCGTGGTAATTCTAAGCGTAGGAATCTAATGCGTGGTAATCTAACACGTAGTAATCCAGCGTGTGGATATCCAACGCATAGTAATTCAGCGCGTGGATATTCGACGCGTAGTAGTCCAACGCGTAATAATCCTCGTGCTCTGATTGGTCCGCGTTACGTCAGCTACCCCCTATTTTAAGGACCTACACAACAACAATTTGAAATAAATCCATTTTTGCAAAGGGAAATCTTATTCAGAATCCCGTCAGCTACTCCCCATTTCAGGGACCTACACTAATTGCGAGACACCCTGTACTTCAATGCGTTTCTGTTAAGTTTGTCACTAAAAATTTTAAGTATTCTTTGTCTAATTAATTGAAATTATATTTTGAATTATATAAAAATTGTACTCAAAATAAAGTGCTGTAAATACAAAAATAAATTCAAAGTAGATCAAAATTTATAATATAAAATAATATGTAATACCAAATAATATGTAATATGTAATACCATATTACGAATGTTAAGTATGATACGATAAATAATCAGTAACGCGATACAAAGTAGCTCTACATGATCTTAAGAGGTGTTAATAATACAAAATACAGTCTTACAGTCGTAAGTACTTCCTTCATGAAATCATTTCCACCGATTCGAATATATTTAACCTCTGACTCGTCTTTCCTCGAGATCTCAAATTATGGGAACAACTAAATTGTCCACTTTTTTAATTGCAACGGTATTGTTGATATACCGAGACAGGTTCATTCTGACAAAATTATACAGAATCATGTATTATAGTCACGCACGAGGGTAATTTCCTTAATTTTCTAGCAGGCGCAACATTAATGCAAATCACGATATGAAATAATTGGCGTATGTGATTGTGTAAGTTACTTTCATCACAGTATTATATGATTATCGTTGTTATGGTCAACTGAGAAAGTTACTCTCGTTGGAACGTGATGTGATGTTCTACTTAGTCTTAACTCTTTTCATTTCTCTTCCCATGCAATCTTTGATCTCATAGATTATTTTTATTATCTTTCTTTGTAATAATTCATATGTAACACAATTCATATGTGTATAATTTTTAGTATATAGAGTTTTAAATCATATATGCTCAATTTTTGGTCATGTATGTACATATGTAGAATTTTTAATTACATATGAAATAGTTTTGGTTACATATGTATCTAGAATTTTTAATCATATATGAGATAGTTTTGGTCACATATGTATGTAAAGATTTTAAATTACATATGAACCATTGTGTACCAAATTTTAAATTACATATGAGCTATTTTTAGTTACATATGCATATCAAATTTTAAATTACATTTTCACTCACATATGTACATATGTACATATACATTAAATCACACACGAATAATTTTTTCTCACATATGTACCTAAAATATTAAATTACACATGTCTAAAAAATTTTTATACATATGCATATGACCCATTTGTTATCACATACAGGGTGCGGCACCAAAATCCGGACAAATGAAAGATTACTTTCAAACATAATTTTTTTTGTGAAAACGGAAATATTTACAACTTTTTTTTTTACTACATTGTTAATAAGGCTATAAAGAACCCTTTTATTCAATATATCCTTCCTCTGCTTGAATGACTGCTTCCAATCTTGGTCTGAAGCGCTTGTAGGCCCGTTTTAATGCCTCACGGTCCATATCGGCGAATATTGCCTTGATAACGGCTTTCAATGATTCTATGTATGGATGTCTGCATTTGTTGGTGACCCTTTCAACAACGCTCCATACATAATAATCCAAAGGATTTAAACTGGGCTATTAGGAGGTCAGAATTCTTGAGCACGTTGAATGATGCCGGGTGTTCTGACAATATGCTCCTTTGAGTGAGTCTTCCTGGATGGTGTTGCAAAACCTTCGTTTCATTTTTCCGACACATATTTCTTCATGACATCGTATACAGTCGATTTCGGGTACCCGAAGTAACGAATAATTTCTGTTGCTGTACGGCCTGCGCGAATGTTTTCGATAACCGCGGCTCTTCGGTTATATTCTGCGCTTGGTTTGGACATTGCGACTATTATGAAGGTTAGACTGTTTAATACATATTTCAAGTTATTTGGTTGCCAATCGCGAACTTTGCAATAAGTATATGACGGCGAGAAAATTAAATTAAATTTTGTCCGGATTTTGGCGCCGCACCCTGTATATGTATACATATTATAATTTTATGTCACATACGAACAATTATTGTTCACACATTTAAAGTAAAGAATTGCATATTTTGATAGATTTTTCTGAATGATATAAAACTTTGAATTTGGAGCAAGTACTAGTAATATAATAAATAACGTCAATGAGTATGATTAATTACGAACATCGAGGTTAGGCTTTTCTTACAACCGCAAAAGCCGAAGCCGAATCTCGAAATAAATATGTTGGCATAAGTTCTCATTGGTTCGCGTAATTTCTACATTTAACTTGTCATTTAGTGAATCGCTATTTGTCGTGACGTATTAATAGTGTTTTAATAGATTGCATAATTTACGTGATCCATAACATGAATGAGCAAGAATTCCAAAAAATTTGGGCTCCCAAATTTTGCATTTTACAATTCGTTACTTTTAATGTTGATAATGAAGTACAGGGTGGACCTTTTATGGTGTTACTAGCTTTTTGCCAAATTGGAAGTTTTTTAATTTAGGAATTTTGTAAATTTTCAGATTTGGGAAATTTGGAATTTTGGAAATTGGGAATTTGGAAAAATCATAAATTCTGAAATATGGAATTTGGAAAATTTGGTAATTTGGAAATTTGGAAAATTAGAAATTTAGAATTTTGGATTTTTGGAAATTTTGACATTTGGAAAATTAGAAATTTGGAATTTTGGAATATTGGATTTTTGGAAATTTGAAATTTGGAATTTTTGAATTTTGGATTTTTGGATTTTTGGAAATTTGGAAATTGAAAAATTAGAAATTTGGAAATTTGGTAAATTAGCAATTTTGAAATGTAACGAATATATTTTTTTTTAATATTTATCCTCGATACATCTCATCCAATTTAAGAGTGTCTTGTAGAAATATGAATGAAAGAATCATGGAGAATTTACAAAATACAACGGTTGTCTTTCATCGAGTAGTTTATCAACGAAAAGCTGGCCAGAGTTGACAGCAAATTTCCCAAGAATTCCCGTGCGAGCTAATTTAAAATCACCGGCGAATGAACCGACCGAGTTCGAAAACGTTGGCTTATGTCTGTCTCGTCGCAAAATTTACACCTTGCGTAAGCAGGAACGGGCCTAATTCATAAACATCATTAGTTGTATCATTGCTCGTCATTTGTTCGAGAAACAAGGAAAGGTGGAAGCGACGAAAATAAAGTCGGAAGATTCATTTCGATATTTGTGACTCGAAATTCTATAAATAGTCCCGACGAATTTTAAATCTCGTCCTGGACCGTGAAATAGTAAACAGATCTCGGGACAAGAAACAAGATTTTGTTTATACGATAAATATACCTACTGCATGATACAGCAATCAAGGTTTTAATACAGGCTTAGTCATTCGTGTTATAAGATGTTTTTTAAATTGTAAGAATGTTTTGTCATTTTTGAGTAAATTGTTAATCAATTGTGTTAAATTGATCGTGATAGGATGAATTAAATACATTGATTTTATATTTGTTTTAATTCGTTGATTAAGTTTATTGATTGAATTAGGGTGAATTTAATAAAATTGTCTTTTAGAATTAGTTCAATTTATTGATTAAGATTACTGATTGTATTGGGATGAATTCAATAAAACTAACTTTTAGAATTAATTGAATTTATTGATTAAGGTTATTGATTTAATTAGGTTGAATTTAATAAAACTGTCTTTTAAAATTAGTTCAATTTATTGATTAAGATTACTGATTGTATTGGGATGAATTCAATAAAACTAACTTTTAGAATTAATTGAATTTATTGATTAAGGTTATTGATTTAATTAGAGTGAATTTAATAAAACTGTCTTTTAGAATTAATTGAATTTATTGATTAAGGTTATTGATTTAATTAGGGTGAATTTAATAAAACCGACTTTTAAAATTGATTGAATTTATTGATTAAGTTTGTTGATTGAAATAGAATGAATTTAATAAAACTGTCTTTTAAAATTAGTTGAATTTATTGCTTGAGTTTATTGATTGAATTAGGGTGAATTTAATAAAACTGTCTTTTAGAATTAATTGAAATTATACATTAAGTTTATTGATTAAATTAGTTCTATTTATTGCTTGATTGTATTGGTTGAATCACTGTATACACCTTGAAGTATATAACACAATTAATCATTGGATAAGTAAAACGAATAAATCGAGTAAAACGAGAATGAAATATAAATCGTGCGTCATCTAAATATGGCTGACACGCCGGCCAGTGAAATATGTTTGGAACTGCGTTATCTGATGCACTGTAACAGCTGTACAGCTTAATTTTCTCGAATATGTGTAACAGTATATTTATAATGGCTGAATTATTGCAGGTACCTAGAAACAATGATGCACCTGTTCAAAGGTAACGTCGGATCCGGCATATTTGCGTTAGGGGATGCTTTCAAGCATGCCGGACTAGCGCTGGCACCACCGCTTACGATCTTCCTTGGGATTATTTGTGTTCATGCGCAACACATTCTGGTACGTGGATTCAAATTAAAAATTTTTCTCTTTTACCAAAAAAGGAAGAAGGTACTTCAAGATATATACTCTTTCAGTACTTTCTAATCAGAGACCTTTGATAAAAGTTTTAGAAACAAATTTAAACATGAAATGTTTAAAACGATTTTAAGTTTGTAACACAAGGTTTATTTACTCTTTGGTGCATCGCGTTGCAAATATTCTGTTGTAACGAATTTTACAAACATAGTGTACAAACAGATAAATGTAATATATAAATGTTAAAAAAAGAAACAAATATAATTATACAAATGACAAAATTTTTTAAACTATCATATTTTGTCCAACAAAAATTAATTACAAATTTGTTGATTCAAATAATGAATATATTTTCTGTATTCTACAACTGCAATATTTTTGTATACACGTTTTTAAAATAATATATATACGTGACACATTATTTATTGTCATTTTTGTAAAATTATTGTTTGTCAAAATTTAAAAATACGTTTTTTGATAAATGAATGTACATTAATCGCACGACACTCATGGCTAGATAAAACAGTGCGACAGTTTCGAATAACTACACCGACAATTTGTAGCAGAAGATAAAAGACTTATATCACAAATTCGTTAACAGTATGTTGAACTAGATACGCTTGTTTCTAATGTAACGGTTAACCTAGTGTTAACTATTCTGATTTACATCAGATCGATTAGTTAACAACAGCATAGATAACGCTTTCCTTTAACACGCTTGTTAGAACCTCAGAATAAATTCAGGCCAAGGCGCTGATTTTACTTCTACCATTACAAGAAAAGCAAATTAATATAATATTTACTTCTCTATTATCGAGTGTTATGAGTTCACTCAAAATAATTGTGTAACCGCATGTCAAGCTGTCACACAGAAAATAAAACGGATAATGTGTACTTAATGATGGCGGGCTTCTCGTATTTATCATCAGGGGATTAGAAATATCAGCTTGCTGAAGTTATCGAACAAGATCGATTTCTTTGTACGAAATTTCAGCTGGTGTATATCTTCTAATCAGTATCACGTATCACGTACTGCTATGAAAATATCTGATGATTTTATTATAGTGTTATCAAACTAATTTTGCAATTTTTTAATTGCGCGACTTTGCGTATTTGGAAATTTTTGGATTTAGGGATCTAGGGATTTAGGAATCTAGGGATATAGGGAATTTTAGGATCTAAGGATTTTTTGAATCTAGGGAATTTTGAGATGGAGGGAATTTTGGGATCTAAGGATTTTTGGAATTTTGAAATGGAGGAAATTTTGGGATGTAAGGATTTTTGGAATCTAGGGAATTTTGAGATGGAGGGAATTTTGGGATCTAGGGAGTGTTAGGATATATGGAATCTTGGGATCTAGGGAGTATTAGGATATATGGAATTTTGGGATCTAGGGAGTATTGGGATATATGGAATTTTGGGATCTTGGGAATTGTGGAATCTAGGGAATTTTGAAATTGAGGGAATTTTGGGATCTAAGGAATTTTGAGATGGAGGGAATTTTTGGATGTAGGGAGTATTGGGATATATGAAATTTTGGGATCTTGGGAATTGTGGAATCTAGGGAATTTTGAAATTGAGGGAATTTTGGGATCTAAGGAATTTTGAGATGGAGGGAATTTTTGGATGTAGGGAGTATTGGGATATATGAAATTTTGGGATCTTGGGAATTGTGGAATCTAGGTAAAATTGGGATATAGGGGTTTTGGGGGTTTAGGGAATTTTGGGATCTATGGAAAATTGGGATATAGGGAATTTGAGATCTAAGGACTTTGGGGATCTAGGGATGTAGGGATCTAGGAATATAAGGATCTAGGCATATAGGGATCAAGGTACATAGGGAGTTCGGAATGTAGGGATTTTGAGAAATAGAGATTTCGAGATATGGGGACTTGGAAACAAGGCAATTTAGAGATGTAGGGATTTGGTACCAGGGGAATTTTAGGAGATTTGGTAACTGAGAATTTTGAAATATTTATGATTTGGGAACTTTGTAGAAATTTGCAAGTCTACCTATTTCATCTCCCAAACTTTAACCGTAACGACAGAGCATTTCTACTACACCAGTTTTACAAAAATTTACATTGTATCCACATACTCTTAGAATGTAATAAATAGAAGTATCAAAGTCAGAATAAATGTATAATAAATATGTGACCGTATATTTGCAGATAAAGTGTAACGATGAGGTGATGCGTCGTGTTAATGATGGCAGTGCCACCACTGGTTTCGCTGGTACCGTTGAATTGTGCTTTGCTACCGGACCTCTTGCACTCCGAAAATACTCCGTATTTATAAGGTTCGTATACGCGCAAGAAGAAAACAAAATAGGGACACCATCTACCATTTGCCTCCGTTATTTCGAAATTTGTCGGATCTCTTGTTACAAAGACGTAACTTGCTATGAAATAGAGCAGACGGCCACTTGTGATTGAAAGATCTTAACAATAATTTGTTTACAAGGTTTCAAACCTTTTGAAGATGTTGAATTGTTTTTAGGAATAATCATAATCAAAATTATACACAATTAATAATTGTAAAGAAATTGTACATAATTGATTTTCAAAATTTCAAATTTAATTATAATTTTGATTATAAGAAATTATATTTATTACAATTCTTTGTTTTCGATCAGGTTCAATCACAAAATACTTTGTTCAATTTCTAGTATAACCGACTCGCGATTTGTATTACCACCTATCGCTCTGTTACAGAAAAGTGGTTAATGTATTTTTATGTGTCACGCAACTCGGATTTTGCTGCGTTTATTTTGTTTTCATCGCCACCAATATGCAGCAGGTGAGTGGTGATATTTTATCTGATATTTTAGATTGAAATCCTTTTTTTGAATCATTTGGAAATTTGAGTCTTTAGAGATTAAGGAATGTAGATTATAATAATATTTCAATTTTTCAATTTATAAATTTATACATTTTTAAGTTTTTAACTTTGTAAATTTTCATATTTGCAAATTTAGAAATTTCAAATTACATAATTATAAAAATATTAAATTTTCAAATTTATAATTTTCCAAACTTTCATATTTGCAAATTTAGAAATTTCAAATTGCATAATTATAAAAATACTAAATCTTTAAATTTATAATTTTCCAAACTTTCATATTTGCAATTTTAGAAATTTCAAATTGCATAATTATAAAAATACTAAATCTTCAAATTTCCAACTTTAGACTTCCATATTTTAAAATATTAAAAACCTCAAGTTTCAGACTCACATGTACTGATGTTGCATACCTAAAATTAAAATAATAAAAATAATAAATATAATAATTAAAATTAATCCTAAAGTTAATTAACTAATAACAAGTAACCTACTTTCCAAGATTATCATAAAATTGTATAATTCTCTTTGTGTAACAGGTGTTGGACGTGTACGGGATCGAAATGGACGTTCATCAACACATGGCTGTGATCCTGATTCCCATAATGCTCAGCACGTGGATCAGGAACCTAAAGTACCTGGTGCCGATTTCCTCGTTGGCAAATTTTCTGGTCATAGCGGGCTACATCGCCACCATGTATATAATGTGCCACGATTTGCCACCCGTTCACGAAAGACGATACGTAGCGGATTGGCACGATATCCCCCTGTTCTTTGGCACTGTGATATATTCTTTCGAGGGTATTACTTTGGTAAGAGTCTACACGCGCGTCTTCTACGTTTATGTAACGCGTATAATTTTGGCGACCGCTACCTTCGTCGTGGTTCCCTTGTCTACCAAAGAGGAAATCCTTTGACGTCTTGTTTTCATTATGATGAGTTTTCTGGATTTCTAAAAATCCAATTAAAAATCTGTCAAATTGATAATTCATAATTATAAAATGATTTCATAAAGTCACTACATTAAAAGAATTAGTAAAAGAAGAAATAGAATCACTATAGTAAAGCAATCTCTTTTTCCCGCCTTCACTGTCAAAATTTATAACCTACCATAGTTATTTATAATTTATAACTTACCGACTAAAAATGTTATCGACAATCTTGTAATGTTCTAGGTTTTACCTTTGAAGAATGAGATGAAGAAACCGAGTAATTTCAATAAACCCTTTGGAGTCCTCAACGTGGGGATGGTTATTGTGGGTGGAATGTTCGTTGCGATGGGTTTTATATCATATTTAAAATATGGCGACGCTGTGGCGGGATCTGTAACGTTAAATCTTGAATCCTCTGAAGTGTAAGTATAAATATACTTTATTCGTACCACAACATCGTATATGCAATTACTTCTCGGTTGATAAAATCATTTTCTAGTCGGCACACTTCGGTGTACCTGTTAATCACTCGCTAAATTTGTACATGCTATTAGGTAGGAAATTTTTCGAATTGAATAGACTATCGATTGTAGTGATTAAAAAAAAAGAGAAATTATGCAAGTGGTTAACAAATTTATCTTTGCATAAGTTAAAAGTCCAATCTACAATAGACTATTATGCGTCCAGGTGATAAATCACGCTGCATTAAGAATAATCAAAATTCTATCACACAAAATGATAGCGAAAAGTAGCGAGATGCGAACATAGTTAAGAAAAACTGTTTGTAACATAATTTTCTGTTGCATACAAAGGGTGGATGGAAAAATCATCGTCGTGCATTCAAGGTTTCTATCACATATCGGTTTTCTAATCGTGTGTGTTTTTTTACAGTTTTTCGTCCTTATCATTAAAGTAACCATGACAGATTCCCGTTTTTATTGTTGGACTAATCATGCATGCTGTTTCTTTTATCGAATTCAGAGTTGTAGAGGAGTTTGCTGTTTGTTAAAATGAAAAAGGTAAACCTTGAAATATTTATAATGGTATTGTTTTATTTTACAGCTTACCACAGTGCATTAAAGTTGCCATCTCGTTGAGTATATTATTCACGTATGCACTGCAATTTTACGTTCCCGTTGCGATCATTTGGCCGAAGATCGTCAACCAATTTGGCCCTTTCAAGTGGCCAATTGTTGCTGAGACTGTCTTCCGTTCCGCAGTTTGTTTTGTTACATGTAAGTTGGATATTATTTCAGTTGGTCATTATAACTGTGTTGTCCTTTAAAATTGAATTGTCAAGTCAAGGTTAAAATTTTGTATAATCAAATATTATGTTTATGTGATGTTTACAAGATTTCTAAATGTAGATATAATAGATTTAGATGTAATGTAGGTGTTTCTTAGGTGAAAGTAGAGCATAGAACTTTTTATAATTTGATTTTAATCTGTGGGAAAATTTAGAGAAAATGTAGGAGAATTTAGAAATAGCCCAAAGTTAGTTTGTTAGTAAAGCTAAAGCCAGGGAAAGTCTAGAAAGAATTCAGGCAGAACTTAGGGACAACTGAAGGAGTACTAACAAGCGGAAGCTATGGACAACCCAGGAAAAGTGCAGAGAGAAACAAGAAGAAATTGAGGGAGTACGCAGACAACCTAGGGACAACTGAAAAACTATTCAGGCAGAATTTAGGGATAACTGAAGGAGTGCTCACGCTCAACCTGTGGACAGCACAGAGAAAGCGCAGATAAAAGCAAGGAGAAATTGAGGGAGAACTTGAGGTGGACCCAGGAGAGCCTAGAACTCAGGAAGTACCCAGAAAGATTCTAAGAAAATTCTAGATAAAATCTGCATAGAATTCAGAAGAAATCTTAAGAGAATATTGAGAGAATCCAGGAAAAGTTTGTAATAGATTTTCTCAAACATGAGTCAAGCAGCTTTAAAGTTTCAACGTCTGCAAATTTCATAATGCAAAGTTCTAAATGCCTGTAGTCTTGAAGTTTCAAAACTCTAAAGTTCCATAAGAGTAATTTAGTGATTTAGGTAGCCCTGTACAAGTCTTAGAGTATATATACAATATTTTCTACAATGTAGTTGTATGTAATGTAGTGTAATAGCTGTATAATTTTGTAATACTTTTTCAATACAAACTAACATAATAATTATTCTGTTGCAGTTGTCCTAGCAGAAGCAATACCAAAACTGGGTCTGTTCATATCGTTGGTGGGTGCAGTGAGCAGCACCGCCCTCGCGTTGATATTCCCACCGATCATTGAGATGGTTGTGTGCTGGCAGAACGCGTCTCTCAGTATATTCACCATATCAAAAGACATCTTGATAGTATTGATAGGTCTCTTAGGCTTCGTTACGGGAACGTACGAGAGCATCACCTCGATTATCGACGCGTTTAGCACGTAATTAAATTAGTTCGTTTGTATGAATCGTCGTTGTTGTAATTTTGCACACGTGCGCAATTAACGGATCATGACATGAACGCGAACGTATAGGCAATGATTGTTGGAAAAAGAGCCAGAATTTATCGAAATTTTGTACATTATTGTTTACTATTAATACTATTATTATTATCGATGATAATGTTATTTATTCGCCTGGCACCATTTTGAGTTCACGTAAAACGGATCTTGAATCTTGCTATGTAATATTGTGTGTATTATCTAGACGAGGTAACTTGACCATCTGTGATTTGTTTTACTATCGATTATGTGCTTAGGTTTTGTACATATGCAAACAGGGTAAACATATTTCAAGTTTTTTTTTTTAAAAACGAATCACGATTACCAATTCGTATATCCTTCCTATTGTTCACTATTAGCAGCTGGTTAATTAATATTACTGTTAAATTTAGTAACACTTTAACTACTGTATCTATTTACTGTATATATTTATAAATAATTGTACTGAGCATTTGAAAGAATTATCTATCAAAAATTCTGCACAATTATGAAAGACTTAAAAACTTTAATTTCAGGTCCTCAATTTTTAAATTCCTAATTAGCGATAACTGTCTTATTGAATTTGGTAATCGTTGTACGTGATGTATCATCGCCTATATTACAAATTATGCTAATTGTTTGTGTCCCGAATGCGACGTAAAGTTAGACTTCTATCATAGTTTTATAGGCTGTCCGATTAGTTGTATGGATTACATGTAAAAGTGAATATTGACTGTTATTGCAATTACCGTGATATAAGTAGTGATATGAATTAACAAAAGGTTTTAAGGAAAAGGAAACAACAAAAAATAGAAAACAAAAATCGACACGACGAATGAAATATACGTTGATATATACTATTATATTAAATCGTACTCAAATGATCATGTGATATAAAAGACATACGCGTAGATTATACCGGAAACGTACAAATGATTTTTCGTCGAGAACTGTTGATTTAAGACTACGAAATGTTGGTGAACTCTTCTAGAACGTGTCGATTGCAATTTTATGTATTATAGCTGCGAAGATACGATTTTATAGTTGTGCCAAAGGGTGACCATTTTAATCACATTTCTTAAAAATATTTCTTTTCTCAAAACAAATGTTTAAAGTCAATTCTGAATTAATACGTTCGCACATTAAAGATTCATCATTACTTTTTATAAAATTACAATGAACTAATGTATTTTAGAACAATGATGCATATTAGGTTATATTGTTTGTAATATATTATTTAAGCCGATGAACACGTACATATATCAACATACGCTTGTGGGCATTAATGGGTAGTCACTTTCTCAATTTAAAAACTTTAAACTTTCTGTACATATTTTTAAATTCCTCAGTTTGAAAATTTTACGATGTAAATTTTTAAGTTCCTTTGAAATCTTGATTTCACTACCCTTGACTGCCCATAGCTGTCCACGACTGTCCGGTTGGTCTGCCAATAATTTTATATTATATTAAAAACTTTGATACTGAATGTATTAAGCATATATATTGTAACAATAATCTTGGTCACCCAGAGTTGCAATTAATTGTTAGTCGCCACGCGTGTCACCATTTTGTTATATTCTCGAATTCGTTCTTTTTTAAAGCGACTGAAGAACCCTCGTGGGGATGAATTATATTTGTAGGTAACGGATTGTAATGTCGATTCGATGTACATACGTATGTAGTTTATTCACGTTCTTTCTTTCACAGTGACCGATATTTATGAACAAGGGGATGAAGCGACGAGAAATTGCATGAATTTTGTACGCCGTTATAGATGGACAAACTTACTTTAATACTGAACTTTTTATATGTGTACATAGATATAGTGTGAAAAGAAACGTGATAAAAACTTGTTGGAAAAAAGACAGAAAATTCAGTTCGATGTAAAAACTCGATATCCGTTTTCAAAGTTAGATTGGCGTGTGTGTTTAAAATTTATAAATATCAATAGAAAATTACTAACACGTTAGTTAATTCACGTTCACCGACAACGCGAAAATCTGTTCGTACGTTTAAATGTATCGAACGAAAAAAACCAGTATTTCAAAAAAAAAGATGAAAATTTGAAATACAAATGTTATGAAAAAAAAATACAAAATATCTCATTGTCATACGTAGAAATATGTAGTTAAGTGTTACACTTGTAAAATAGTACAAGAATTAGAAACATGGAGTACCGTTGTGGAGATGTAGCGATCATTTTGCGTTCGTCCAGTGGCCGCAACAGAATTATAATTGTGCCTAAAATGGTCTGACGATGGATTCCTAAGATTTCCTGTAGACGCATTGTACCGACATAGTATTAATTAAACGGCTGGATAAACCAGAAAAGAAAAATGGTGCAACTGATGCATCTGGAGTACAAATTCTCTCAGGGATACTTTATACAATGTAGATATTGTTAGGTATCTTTTTTTTATAGCCTTTTTTTTAAACGACGTTTAAGTGATGCCTTTCGTTCGTTGCAGGTTGATGAATGAGAGTCAATTTAAACGTGTGTGATCACGCGTGCTATCTGTTCATGTACCACTGTGCTCAGTGATTCTCGATTTTGATTGATCATTGGCAAAATAAATAATTCGAAATTTATTGACTTTAGTGAATACTCGACACGAGAGAGATTGTGCTTGTAGCCCTTCACTTTGGAAAATCTCTTTGGAAACTTTTTATCACTTTCTTGAGGAGCAATTGAAGAAGAGGGTGTACCTGTATTTTGTTATTCATTCTTATGGTATTTTCATTTATATTAAGTAGTAATTTTGAAAGAAGGTTATCGCAATACTAATGATACCTATAATTACTTTGACCTTGTGTATGTTTCAAGGTTTGAAAACTTTGATAATGTAAAAATTTCTCAACCTTAGTTTCAAACTTGTAAATTTGAACATTTCTAAATATTTATATCTGAAAACTGTTTACTGAATACTTCTGTTACCCACTGTACATGTCTCCTGAAGTTTGAAGCATTAATTTTAACAAGACACTCGAGGGCTAAAAGAAATTATAAACATGGACTGCAAAGAGGAAGAGGTATTTAATTTAAAATTCATAAAATACAACAAATAATTATTCTAATCTTCTTCAGCCGGAGAAGAAGAATGTCTTCCATTTGAACATTTTAATTCCCCTCATTAAAATTTTGGACATTTACATGCCCGTTAAGAAAGACTTAAGTCCAGATGAATTTTGCATCATGCTATTTTCGAAGAAGGTACAGAAAGAACGGTGCGAATTCGACTACGATTTTCTGAAAGAACGTTTTGATAATCTTGAAGATCTTAAGGTTACATTTTAAAGTTTAAAGAAAGTTTTATCGTTTTTGGAGAAATATAATGTAGTTGAATGTTTTAAAGGCGTTGTCAACTTCGGAGCAGGATTTAATCGTCGATTTGTTCATGAACATTGTTCGTTATGATTTGTTCTTGAAAGCTATAAGCAAAGACTTTTTGGATCATGTTCGTTGTCGCAATTGTGAGTTGCATGAATTTATGGGTAGGTTGTTAAATCTAAATTTCTATTCATTTGTTAAGCTTCAAATTATTTTTTTAAATATTACTTTTTCAATATATAAGTCTTGTTAAAAAATAGGAAGTAGTGGAAACATTCTTTATATTTTATAAATCTAAAAATTAACTTCACACTAATATTTCGACATTAATATTTGTTTAAGTATAATTTGATATCACGAAAATTTACCAACACCAAAATTAATTTCAGTGCTCGTGTACATTCTGTCATACAGAATCATCAATCTCTTCTTCGAAGAGTCAATCGACTGCTTCGTTCATTTCAAAGTGAAGAGAATATTGTCCCTAGTCGTTTATCTTCTTCGTTCAGAAACGTCAGATCAGTTCTATGAAAAAGGTTGCCTGTCGTTCGAGGAAGATTTCGTAGAACAAAAACTTGTGCTGCCATTTTTAGACGCCACATCATGCTTAGAGGTTGTTATTCGTATTTGCATTTTTTAAATTCTGTACTATTTCAAGTGAATTTCGTTAGAAACTTCGGGATCAGTTAAGAGAATATATACGAAAGATGAAGAGACCTAAACCGAAATTGACGATTCCGTTGTTTATGAACGTTTTGAATCGACCGAGACCGCCGACGAAGGCGCCTCCTCCCACACCTGAAGTGAGTATTTATTTCACTCACTTTTTGAGATTTTTGAGAATTATTTGTGAACGATTAGCTAACTTTTAAGGATGAAATAAATTGTAATAAAAATTGTTGCATTGACTATGATAATTGTAGGATATTAATTCTTATTGTTAGTGTTATTGTTAATTAATTTTCAGTTTTTAAAGATGACTTCAAAGTTAAATAATGTAATTGATTTTAATTCATGACGATACTTAATTTTTGCTGCATCTCAGACATTTGTATAGTTAGATTGATGCAAAGGTTATACAGAGGTTTTAAATAACAACACTATTTTTCGAGATTAAATATTTTTTATTTAAAATGTATAACTGTATAGAAATTCATAGAAAATCTTGTCACATAGATAATCATTTTTGCTTTCAAAAAATTGATATACAAAATAAAATTCTATTACTTTAATTCCCTTTAGTATATTGTAATCTTCTATAATCAATAAATGTGTAAGATTTTCCAGGTTCAGGAATCAAACAAAAACTTTTGTCTCTGATATTTAAAGGCCCTCAAATCTTTGATTATTTAAACTAACTACATTAAACTTATTTTACATAAAACAAGTTTAATATGTAGAACATGTAGTAAAAGATGATGAAATTGTTAAAATATACTCTAACTATTTAATCGATTTAAAGTCGTTGGATCAACGGAACCTTGAGATTTCCTTTTTTGAAGACTAGTCATATCCTGGATAGGACTTGACGACCGTGAAGTTTGCCCGCGATGTACCAAGATCAAACTACATCAAACCATCGACAGAGATCAAATTAGACGCGTTACGGGTTGCGAACAAATTGCAAGCTATGAGTTTATTGAAGGATGCAAACGAGAATGCGCCTAGTTGTTTGAAACGTCGTAAAGTATCGGTGAAATTGATGGAGAAGGAAAAACCGAAAGCACCTTTTGTGAGAAAAGCTGTTCCGACATTTAAGGTGACAGAGATGAACGCATATTTTTGTTAAATATTTTATTTATTTCTTTTTTCATACAGTAAATAAAACGTAGAGAAATTACATGACAATATATGTAAAAATGTGATTACATATGAAAAACAAAACATTGCATATTACTTGCTTAAATACATGTTATATATTTCATATTTAAATAAATATTAAAGATACATATTAATAATAATTTATATAAAATTAAATATGTTCATATAATTAAAACAGAAGTATGTACATTAATTATATTTAGGTACATCTTGTCTCTGTATAAATTAATAGAATTCTTTTCGATGTTGCAAAATAATCATTTGTTCAACAGCCCATCGAAGTGAAACACACAGCAGCATCGACTTTAAGAGAATGCGCTCGAATAATCAATGATGAAGAGAAGGAGATAAGAAAGTAATTATTGCAAATATGAACATTGCTTTGCTTTGCAAGCTTCTAAAATTAAAGCTTGAAAATTTGTGTCTACAAGTTTTAATTAGAAAGTTGCAATATAACGAGAGTCTATTATATCACCAATAAAATTGTTTCTCATATGAACATTTGCTTTATTTTGCAAGCTCCTTAAACTTATATTTGAAAATGTGTATCTACAAGTTTTAATTAGAAAGTTGCAATATAACGAGAGTCTATTGTATCATCAATAAAATTGTTTCCCATATTTAAAACGAATAATTCAAAATTACTATTTAAAAGATATTAAATTGCCTCTAATAATAAATGTTAGAAAATATATTCTAAATGTTTTCTAATATTAGAAAATCTTTTCTATGTTCTTTGGTAATATTTTAGATTGAAAGGTTTAGCGGAAGGAGGGCTAGATCCATCGGCGATATCGAAGTTCCAGGAAGAAGTACGACAACAAAAAAGAGAAGAAGAACTATTAAAGATACAAGAAAAACATCTATTAGGATTATTAAGCCGTGAAGGCGCTTTCATAGCGAAACAGTCATTACTGAATGATATTAAATTGCACGCTGAAGATGTACGGAAAGAGGTATCTTTTCTATCAATTTTATTGTTCACACTCAGAATTTCTTGCAAATGATACAATTAGATTACTGTTCGAATAATTAAAAATTGATCGAAAGACAAATACAGTGTTTTTATTCCTTTTCAAAGAAACAAGAGTTATATGAAAAATTAGAGAAATGGAGAGAAGACCATGGAAAGCAAATGGTGGAAATCGTCGAAAAGTGTCGTGAAATTGAACAGTCATCACGTGACGCCTTCAACGCTATGATCGATGAGAAACGCCAAAAAGGTGAATCAATTTTAATTTATTAAATTCCATTGATATTGAAACAATATCAATGACGTAGAAATTAGCTTGTGAACTTTACTCGTGACACGGTATAAATGCTTGAAGATTGATCGCGCTAATCTTGTATCAACAGCGTTGACAAACATGTGCCAGTATGGAGATGAACAAACACGATTACGTATTTTCAATTGAAGCCTTTTGTTCTAAATATAAAAAAACTTTTGCGACAAATATAGATTTTTATCAATGCCGGATTTCAGCATACGTGGTACATTTTTACATTATCTTGATTAATTACGGTTTGAAAATTAATACTTCCTTAAATTAACTTTAACAGTAGACTTTTATTATTTTACTATTATAACTATAACTTCAATATTATATATGAAACTATCCTGTATGAAAGAATGACACAATTAACATAGTTGAAGAATTTAACTTATTTATCAATTTTTACGTTCTATCTGTAAGAAATTTTTAGTGGGCCAAAATAAATCTTTTCCTGTAGAATTACCTTTATTTTTGATCTACCGTTTGAAGATTAGAAAAATGTTTAATCAAACTTATAGAATTAGTTAAAAATTTGAAAGGATATTCTTCTCATTTATTTTAAATTGTATTATAATACAGGGTGTCTCACAATTAGTGTAGGTCCCTGAAATGGGGAGTAGCTGACGTGATTCTGAATGAGATTTCCCTTTGCAAAAATGGGATTTAAAGGAATTATTAAGGAAAAATACGGACCAATCAGAGCGCGAGGATTATTACGCGCTGAACTACTACGCGTCGAATATCCACGCGTTGGATTACTACGTGTTGGATATTCCACATGCTGGATTACTACGCGTTAGATTACCACGCATTAGATTCT